TCAAGGTGGGAAAAACCTTCTGCTATTGAATGATTCTGAGTCATTGCGACCCTATGGCACAACCCCTCATGGCTTCCAAGCCAGGAGAGCTACAGAGGAGCAGACCGCCTCATTTTATCCTGCCGAGTGGCTGGTGAGTTTTACACCAACCATACTGGTTGGCAGCCCAGTGATTAGCCCCATGTGCCACCAGGACCCTTTTCCTGCAAGAAGGCAGCACTTCATTCCCCTCTTTTGAGTGTGGGCTGGACATAGGGCCTTATCAAGGGCTCAGTATGCATGCGATGGCAGAAGAAATCTTTTTGTAAGTTTGGTTTTCCTCTCCTCTACTGTGCCTTGATTTTGATAAGATGAAAGTAAATTTTCCAGAAGCCTTTTCAGGTGGTCAACATTTAGATAAGATTAAAGAGTGTTACATTAATGCAAGGGTTCTAACAAGGACCACTTGTCCCCACCTACATCCCCAGCCAGGGGCTATTTAGCAATGGTGTGTGTGGTGCTACTGATACTTAGTGAACAGAGACTTGGGATGCTGCTAACCATCCTGGGATACACAGTACACACCCTCCTCAGCAAAGAGTCATCCGGCAATGCTAGTAAGTCCATGCAGATATCTAATCAACATTTACTGGGTACCTACTATGCCATGTTTCTTAGATGACACAAATCGGATATCGTCTGTCTTTTCAACTAGCTTCAATATCATGGCAGTTGGCGAGGAGATGAAACGCTGCTCCATGCCATTTTACTCCTGTGTAATCGCCACTCTGACATACAAACAAGAAAAGAATGAGTGGTCGAGGCAAATGTCTTGGGCTGTTTAGAAAGGTAAAGAGTAACCTTACTAGCCTGGCTCGGTGTTGGAGTTAGGGCTCACGATGGGCCTTAAAAAAGCCATCGGCTTCGATACAGAGGGTAGATAGGAGAAAGATAGGAAGAACGATATAATTTTGTTTTTGAAATAGCAGTGATACTCTAAACGTGGGCAATGTCTGGCCTGTGTGACATCTGAGGCCGGAGAGATCAATACCAGCTCACATCACACGCCTCACCAAAGAGAAGCTGTTCCAGCCGTCACGTTGTGTCCTTGAGTCTGTTCCGACTCGTCGAAACACCATGTGCACTAGAACTAGCCTCACAACTACTCTTACATTGGAGCTTTTCTTTGCAGCCACTGTCAACCCATCCTGTAGACTTTCTTCTGCTTTTTTTGGCTGCTTTTCTATCAAGCATGACGTTTTTTTTCCCAAGGACTGCGCTCTCCTGATAACATGTCCAAAGTAGATGAGACAAAGTGTCACCCTCCTTGGCTCTAAGGAACATTCTGGCTATGACAGATTTGTTTGCTCTTTGGCAGTCTGAGGTACTTTCGATATTCTTTGCCAGCACTGTAATTCATATGCATTGATTCCTCTTCAGGTTTCCTTATACTGCAGGAGTGAGTAAATTAAATAGTTGACCAGTGTGGCCCGTGAATGATGTTATAAATATCCAGATGGCGGTTGGCAGAAAAAAGATGCCCTGTCCCTGCTCTAAAACCTGATTGGAGATAGAATCACAAAGACTATACCTACATCTTCCAGAGATGATTGACAGCACCTTCTTGGAGATTTCTTTTCCCCTAAACTGAGAAGTCCCCATGGTAGGGGAGTCTCATCAGAATGTGGGTGAAGGCAATGAGCTTAAAAAGCTCCTCCAAAGGAATAATTTTGTTGTGCCACTCCCCTCCCCCTTTCTGAGAACATTGGCTTCAGAAGGTTGTCAGTCTGAGAAAGATAGGCTGTTTAAGACATACTCAGACTAAAGTTCGTTTCCTTCTGGTTCTATCATGAGAACATAGGCTTCAGAAGGTTGTCAGTCTGAGAAAGATAGGCTGTTTAAGACATACTCAGACTAAAGTTCGTTTCCTTCTGGTTCTATCATTTCTGTCTGCTAACTTCACTCCTGGTTTCCCTTTTGATCCTGTGCTGCCCCGCAGCCACTGCCGATTGCATATTGTTTATGGAACATCACTACCATTCATGATGATAGCAACAGCTTTCTGGCTCTTTGTAAATAGATACTGTGGACTCTTGGCTGGAAAGAAACAAAGACATGAGGGCACTTTAAGAAGTTCATGGGAAAACGGAATGAAAAGATAATGGAAATTTTCTACGAACTCTTTTGAAGCCCCCTTTCCAACCCTCGCCAGATTTGATGAAATGGCTTTTTTTAAGAACCATATTTGACCAATAGATGGCGCTCTCCCTCCTTTGTGCAAATGGGTTGTGAATGAACAAGATAGGTCCTTTTCACCCAAGCCCTGTGTTAAGGACTACATTCAATCCATCTCCAAGTCCATCCAAATCTTTTTCAGTTCACCCTCTGTTTTCCATCCTCCGTATAACTCAGACCTTCTCTCAGATAGTCTCTAGCATAATAATGGTGCCAGGGGGTGGGTGGGGGGCACGTAGGATTGGGGGAGGGAATCCGTGAAGACAATAGCAAGAGGGGGAAGGTCAAGGTAGGAAAGTAGAGGTCACCTCCAACCAATAAAGCCAGCTTTGGAGTCGTTTGTGGAAGGTGGCAGGATAATGTAGGGAAGGTAGACTCAGTGCCTGGAACCTCTGCCAAGGAATCTTGACTGATTTTGCAGACCATACAGAATCGCCAGCAGATTTTGAAGGTGGCACGATCCTAGCTGTGCTTCTGCTAGTCAAATGTGACCAGGCGTGCTGAATGCACTGCATGAACAGGGAAAGAAAGGCCAGGGGACAGGTCACAGCGAGGATCAGGGGAGTGGGGGACATATTTACAGTGTGTGGAATGTGGAGAAGCACTTCCTTCACAGTATCTCCTCAGTAAACTGCTTAGTTACGGAATCCATTTCCCACATCTAGAGATCTCCACCAGCTGCTCCAAGGGTGGAAGAGGAGGTTTGCTAGTTTCATAAAGAGTTGTGGCCTTGGAAACCCAAGGGGCAGTTTTGCCTTGCCCCACAGGGTTGCTATGAATCAGAATTGCCTGGTGCCAGTGGGTTTGAGATTTTGAGAGATCCAGGAAGGAAGGGGTGTTTTTGTCATGTTGTCAGGTTCTGACTCATAGTAACCGTGTGTAGAAGCAGAACCACTGTCCAGTCTTACACTGCTTTCATAATTCATGCTGACAGAGCCCATTGTTGCAGCTACGGTGCCAGTCCATCTCATTGAGGGGTCTTCTTTTTCCCCAACCCCCCTCTTTTACCAAGCATGATGTCCTTCTCCAGGGATTCGTCCTTCTTGATGACGTGTCTAAAATGCACGTGAGATAGACTCAGGAGCAGAGACCACCGGCATTCTGAAATGTTCACGGGCTCATATGGCTAGCCCAGACCTTCCCTGACTGCCTCTGGGAAGGATATTGGGTGCCAGCAGTGACGCCACTACACTTGTCTTCAAGTACGCAGCCAAAAAAAGAAAGACAGCTTGAGCTGCTTTCCGTACCACAGGCTTCCAATGTGTTATTATTCCACACTACGGTGTCAGATTTAGATTCTCCACCTCGAGGAATTTGGTTTAGCTTTAATTAGTTGCTGCGAATCTTTGTGAGCCAACCCTGGGAAGCATTTATCTAGAAAAGAGTTGTTACAAAAATATAAGCTGAATACCGGGTGTCATTTTTCTAGCAGGTTTTGTATCATGTTAGCACAGTTATAAATTCTCTCCATCTGGATAATTTTTTGTGGGTGGGGAGGGTCATAAGCGTATCATCACCAATATTGATGGCTTATGCCTCATATTTTAAAATCCTAGGATATTGAGGCCATAATGGTTCTGCTATCCAAACTGTACGATTGGCCCCCAAACTCTAGTGAATGAGTGCCTTTTTTCCTAGAAAAGATGGGGTGCCCAGGCCCTTCTGCATGTAGGCATTTTTTTCACCCGGCAACTTTTCTTTGGAAAAACAAGCTTAAAAATACCAGACAAATGAAAAACAGACTTCAGCAGTTACATGCTGCTTCCTGAGTAACTGAAGAATGTGCCTCTTGTGGTTAAAATGAGGGATCTGTTTAATATGGATGAAATACCAACACTCCAGGCATTTTCGTTGACATTTCACTGTGACTTTTTGAACTTAAGAGTGCTGATGAGAAAACCTAGTCCAGACTGCTGTGGCTGGGGCCAGGGCAGGTAAAAGGCGGTGTGGGCTCGACTGAATGCACCCCCCACTCCTCCACGCCGTGTTCCAGGCCCTTCTGTGAGATCTGTGTGATCTGCACTTTCATTCACATCGTTTGCACTAGTCGGTTTCCCAGGATACCCTCTCTCAAGCCAGTTATGAAACCAGGCACTGGGCTGGGTTGCTTGGACCAAAGGTGGAAATAGTAGTGGCTGGTGGGCTTTCTACAAAAGCCCCAAGATCAAGGCACGTTCCTGGACCTGGAATCCCCAAACCGAGTGGCCAGGCCGACCCTGCGGCCTCAAAGGCACACTTCTCAACAGCCTTTCGGGGTGGGGGTGGAGGAGCCGAGGGGCGCCCCCTCTCCCAGGCCTCCCCAGCCCCTGCTGGCCTCGGCTGTGCAGCAGCCCGGCCGTCTGGCAGCAGCCCGGGAGAGACATGCTGTTTTGTTTAAATCCTCCACATTCTTTGCCATTTCCCTATTGGCCGGATGGGGCTACCCTCCCCGCCGCAGCCGCTGCTGATGTCAGCCTCGTCCGCTCGCTGGCTAGCTCGCTCGCTCGCTGGCTCACACGCCCTCCTCCCGCACCCACCTCCCGGCCCCAGGCTCACTGCAGCTCGCGCCGACTCCGGCCCCAGCG